CACGTCACCACCGGGTCAAACAACGAGGTACTTAGCCAAAAAATTTATACATCACAAAAAATGGTACGTGACCAAAAAACGGTTACATCAATTGGCGCTGTCTGTGGGAAACGCTACGAAAAGCTCCAGGCAGTTCACCACCAGGGAGCACTACCAGGCAGTTCGCCCCCAGACCGCCATCAAGCAGCTCGTCACCAAGTAGTTCTCCCGCAGGGAGTTCGCCACCAAGTAGTACATCACTAAGGCACGTCACCACCGGGTCAAACAACGAGGTACTTATTCAAAAAATTTATACATCACAAAAAATGGTACATGACCAAAAAACGGTTACATCAAGTTCAATTTGAATTTGATACAATGTCTATTTTGGTTCAGCCTAAAGGTACAAGATAATGAACGGTGTCTTCTTTCCAATAATAATTTTGACATTCTTAAAAGTTTTAAGTTGCATATATCATTAGGTAAACTGACGGGCTGCTACTGGCATAGACTAAATTCACAATTTTTGAGAATTCAAATACTATAGTGGAAGTTTTGAAATTTGGGTACTAAAGTGAGACTATTCTTAAAATATAGAGTACTAAGTTAGAATTTACTCTTAATTATAAGGGTAATATACAAAAACCTCTCCTGAAGTTTCTGACAATCATAAAAACCTCCCCTATAGTTTCATTTTAACAAATACCTTTCCTGAATTTTTGAGAAACTCAACAAAAACCTCCCTTCCGTCACCGTCCCAGACGAAAAATGTTAGATTGATGCACAGGTTTTTTCCAAATATCCGTTCTACTCTTTTATAAATTATTTTACATACAAAATTACGGAAATAACCCCATTTTAACTCAACAAAAACCTCTTTTAATGATCATTTCAGTAATTTTACATACAAAAGTACTGAAATATGTTTTTTTGCTGAGTTAAAATGGGATTATTTCAGTAATTTTGTATGTAAAATAATTTATAAAAGGGTAAAACGGATATTCGGAAAAAATTGGTGCATCAATCTAACGTTTTCCATCTGGGACAATAACGGAAGGGAGGTTTTTATTGAATTTCTAAAAAATTCAGGGAAAGTATTTATTAAAATGAAACTATAAAAAAGGTTTTTATAATTGTCAGAAATTTGAGAAAAGGTTTTTGTATTTTACCCTAATTATAATGAAAGCGATAAAGATAAGGTACGTGAGTGGATTTTTATTCTCTAACAAGGTAATTTTTAAGTATGTCTAAGGTTTGAGACGGTAATTTATTCTCTAACAGGGTAATTAAAGCATTCTTGAAGTTTTCAAATTTGATTTATTTCTCCTCTGTTGACTGTGCTCCGAATCTCTCTTGGTCTCACTTTGGATTAAGGTGCATAATTTGTTGATCCGCTTGCATTGAATACGCTCTGTTTGTTCCTGAGCTGCTTAACAAGTAAGAATGTATCCTTAGTTTGGACTTTTTGACCTTATTTCACACAAATGTCCATCCGTGGTGAATCTTGAATTCTGACTGCATTGTTTGGTCGATCGAAGCTGGTTTAAATCTGGATCAATATAATACCATACAGTATCGCAAATTCGTTAGTAATATGCTGATGATTTCGATGCTTTCATTCAGAAAACAAAAGAAAATCTTTTTTTTTTTTCTCTCCCTTTTACTATGCTTGGAATCGGAATCCATGGTTGCCTCCACGCAATTCAAAAGGCGATGATTATAGATAAAGAAAATAAAAATCTGCAACCCAGGGATGATGCCGGCCTGAAGAGGTTGATAATGGCAAAGCTGTAGAGATCTCAATTGCGATTTCTGTAGAGAGGCTGCAATCGATTGCGATCATTGCTGTCTAGTTGTCAATTTCTGCGTTAACAATGGAATCCGCATAAGCTAATCTAGTTTTCTTCTTGTCAAGCAACCTCAGAGAAAAAAGATTGATATCATAAATGCCAGGGTCGCTGCCTCATGGCCACGCGTCTTTCTCTGAGGGGCCTTTTGCTCTTTTTGAGTATGGATTTCCTGCACAGAGTCCTCCATAACTTTAGGGTGCCATGTCAGTACTGCAGATTTCCCATGCGCGAGTAGAATTAACCAACGTTTCCAACATTTTTATCTTATTTTTAATTTATAAAAAAAATTATTATAATAGATGAAATATTAAAAATAGAGAAATTCCTAGGGTTTTTAAAAATAAGGTTTCTTCTTCTTTCTTTCACTCAAAGCTTTTCACCACTTAACTGAGTACGCTTGACCAGCAACAGACCACCGATGGAAGATATTTGAAATGAACAATAAAGTTATTCTGTTTGGCCTTTTCTCTTGATTTTGTTAAACAAATAAGTAACGAGAATCTTAGAATATAAAATTGCCTTCTATCTTGAATTTATCATATAGAAGGTGAGGTGTATGAGAGTTGCCTTATCAAGCTGCAACAACGGTAGAGTTTAAGGATAAGTAGACAATACT